TACCCTTCATGGTGAGCTACTTAGTGATGATTCTGAGCTACTTTACAGTTAGCATGGGGAAAGGATTGGGCTTTGGCCCAAGTCAAGGCCTATTCTCACCCCAGATGGTCTAGGGCTGAGTGAAGCCTGAGTCCTTCTTCCTGACATTGGCCATTTGGGGGGGGGGGAACCTTCCTGAACCCCTAGAGTCCTTCTTCCTGACATTGGCCATTTGGGGGGGGGGCTTCCTGAACCCCTGGATAGCCAGAGACTGGAATGTGTTCATTCATTCGTTCATTCATTCATTCAACACAATTTCTCTGCTGACTCTGTGCCTCAGTGTTGGTTGCTGTCTACATATCACAGGATCGCTGTCCAGGGCAGGTGTTGCTTGGCCTGTTCAGGCTTTCCTCCCACCGCCATTCTCCATGGGGAGGGGCAGATGGAGAGGAGCTTATGAGCATGTCAAAGTACAAGGTGAGACGGGGAGGGAGAGCAGTCAAGAGGGCATGGGGAGGGGGATCAGCCAGCTCAGACCCCACTAGGTTTATGTTAGGGAAACTGGCAGATAAAGGACCCTTTCTCTGACCCCTGCTCCAGAAACTGAGCACATGCCATCTCAGAGGTAGACACTGGAGGCATCCCAGCTCTCTGCTGCAGCCTCTTTCAAGTCTGGAAAACAGCAGGAGGCTGGCTGGCTACTTCAAGTTGTCAGCTGCCTCCCACAAGAGGCCTCTGGAAACCGATCAAGATTTTTACCTTCCCCTTCCAAGTTGCCTGGGTTCAAAAGGCAACTTCATAAGAAACAATGATGAGGGGGGTTATAGTTCTTTGCTTTGTTATGCTGTTTTGCTATTTGAGAACAGAACCCCTCCCCGCTTATAACACGGGAAACATTTGCTGAGAGTCCACTTGTCAGGCTCTATGCTAGTCACTTTGTAACATTATTTTTAAAAAAATGTTCACCACAATTTAAGGGGTTGGTATTAGCATCCTTTAAAAAAAAAGAAATGAGAAAGGTAAGTCTCAAAAAGGTAAGTAATATTCTCAGATTTATATATACAGCTAGTAAGACTTAAAGCAGTGACTGAATAAGCCTAATGCGTGAAACGTAAAAGAAAAGGTGAAATGGAGTTTATTCAGGGTGGGTGCTGATGTGTAAAATGGGAGAAGGTGGTGGGATATTTATGAAACAGTTTCATCTAAAGATCAGGTTGAAAGTAACAGTCTTCCCAGCTCTGGGTTCTGAATAGTTACTACTCAAGGTTAGTGTGCAAAAGGAGGTACTAGAAAAGGTACATATAAAACAAGACAAAGGAGCTCATAGAGAGAAATGGGAAGGGTGGTTCCTTTAAAAAAACACACACATTTAAAAAAGCTGTACTATTAATATTTAATCCCTTCCACTGGTGAACTGAAAACTTCTAAAGGACTCTTCATATCGAGAGAGAGAGAGAGAGAGAGAGAGAGAGAGAGAAGGGAAAAGTGACACTGAATAATAGAGTGTGAACCCAAAGTGCCTGCTCACATTCACAGACACTAACTACGAGAAAATACCAACACTGAAGGAGACACAGGGATGCCATTTATGGATAAAAGCTATTTATGAGAATGAGAAGCCTCCCAGAGAGATTATTACTCTCGTTAGGTCCCTCCGGGAAGTAAATTAGGTGTTTGAGGAGGTATATGCAATTCTCTTAGATCTCTACATTACATGTACTGCGATGATGATAATGATATGCTGCCTTTGGCTTCCAAAGGGGGCTTTCTCACCTCCAGGAAATGAGCCCTCTCTGTGCAAGGTGCTCTGCTGGGGCTGCGAGACAGACAAAGGCTCGGGTCATATTCTCCTTGCTCTTAAGGAGTTTGCAAGCCAGGGGTGACAACAGGGCACATGTGCAGATGTAGGTGCAAACTACAGCCCGGGATAGACGTGCCAGTAAATGCTATACAGGAATGGGGAACGGAGGTGCGGGACAGGAGATGCAGTTACTGGTGATGGGGAGCAGTTTTTAGAATGTTTCTATGTTCAAAGTTCACTGAGTGCCTTGTCAGCGTCCTTGTCAGTTAATTACTTAGGCTGCTCCTGAAATATGATTCAAAAAATAATTATAGCATGATAAAATTTTAGAGCTGAGAAAGAACCAATGAATGATCATTTTTTACTAGTTTTTTACACATGATTATTGATTTCCCTTAAGGGTTCCTAATTATAATAATTAATAATATCTTGCAAGAACACCACGAGCTAGATATTAGTTAATAATATCTTGCAAGAACAGCATGAGTTAGGTACTATTATTATCTCCACTTTACAGATCAGAAAACTGAGCCGTGGAGAAAGTAGGTGGCCCGGATCACATATAGCAAAGGTCAGAGCTGAGAGTTAGGCTCCACCCCAGATGCAGCCAACTTGAAAACTCATGCTCTTTTCTACTTGGAAATTAAGAATCCAACAGTCAGTTTTAATTTTTAAAAAGACAAAATGGAAACTGTAATTTTTTAAAAAGCTGTTCATGGTTATTAATGCTATGTGTGTCTGCCCTCACTCAGTTGGCAATAGGGTAATCTCTCATACAAGTTAGAAGCACAGGTTAGCAATGAGAAATATCTCTTTTTAAAATTAAAATGTTAAATAATAAGTGCCCTTTCAAAACAGAGTATCACCTTGGTGGGGAACCAGTGTTTTATTCCAAGCCTTTCATTTCCAGACCTTGGAGAATTAGGTCAGTTACTCTGAAGACCTACATTTGGGAGCCAAGAGGATGGAGGGGTGTTGTAGCAGTTCACAGAAAAGTGAGCTGGGGAACTCACTAATCTTCAACAAATAAACCAATTCAGCTCGCCAAGAATTTCTTATAGATCCAATTCATATTTGAGGTGCATGGAACACCATTTCTTTCTTCCTTAATAGTGAAAAGTAGAATCAAATGAAGAGTAAATCTTAATATTGAATCCTATCAACTTTACTAAAAAATATCCCCTTGTGTTAAAAAAAAGAGAAATTCTAACCCTAAGGCATCATTATTATTTAAATATGTGGAAGTTGGCAGCTTGCTGAGATGAGAACACATAATGTAGAGTATACTAGCAAGAGAAGGACATTCTTTCTATTTATGATGCTCTGGAACTTACTCCTGTCAGGGGAAAAAAAAAAAAAAGATGCAAGTGTCTGAAAAGGCAAAGAAGGAAGGCAAAAGGCAAAGAAGGAAGGCAAATAGGCCGAGATGCAAGTGTCTGAAAAGGCAAAGAAGGAAGGCAAATAGGCCACACTGGTCTATCTATGTTTGGGCATCAGTCAAACACTCTGACCATGAATGTTGACAAGAATTCCTCCTGCTTCTTCCTGTCTGATCTGATGTCCTCCACGGTTAAGGTTGTTCATCACTACTCAGTGGCTACCAGCTAGACTGAGGAGTCTAGGTGCCACGACAAGGACAAGTGTCTTCACATCTTGGTATCTAGCCTCCAGTGCTGAGAAAAGAGAGCATGGAAAGGGTTAAGGGCTCAGTGAGTGACTGCTGGTTAGGGGAAGAAGGAATAAAGAGCAAACATATCCCAGAACTGTTAGTTCAGGCTGTTAGTGTAGTTTTATATCCATAAAGTTTGATACCAGTTCAGCAAGAAGTATCTACTTGAACTTTAGAAATAAGCACCTCTATGATGTGTAAGCTGCATGGCATCTTCTGGAAGGGCAATACAAGTTCAGGAGCAGAGTAGAGGAGGAGACAGGACCTTCCACGTTCCCTTGGCTTAAAGAGGGTGTCGATGGAGTGGAGGGGCAAGAAATCAGGTGTGTAAGCAGTGGTGGAAACCCTGCATGTGTGAGAGTGGAGAGGAGAGGTTACCAGACCCAGGGTCTATTGGGAAATGTGTGTTGTGCTGGCCAAGTAACCAGTTTATGAAACACAGAAAAACCAGGCCCAGGAATTTATTCTCCATAGAGCAGGAAATCTCTTGTGTCCCACCCTCTGTTCCCCCCTCCAGGTTAAGTATAAGCATAAGTATATCCTCACTAAGAGAGAACAAACATTGCAATTTAATATGTGTACCATCTAAATCAAATGTCTCTTTTAGGCTTTTGAAATGCAAACGGTGGGCTTGTTTTCACATTCACTGATTTATTCAGGCCACAAAAGTTTATGGAGGACCTACTAGAGCTAGAATTTTGTTAGGCACCACGGGGGGTGCAAAGATGAATAAAACTCGGTCCCTATCCCCCAGGAGTTTAGGCTCCGCGGTGGAGACAAACGCCCTTACAAGTCCTTTACAATAGGAGCTAAGAATGTAAACAGGAACTGTAGGGGCTCAGTTCCCGGGGATGTTACAAAGATGGTTTGGAAAATTAGCAAGGTTCTTCAGGCGAGTTGATTTTTAAAGGATTAAAACTCTGATGGACTTTAAAAAACAATTTTTTTTTAAAACGCAAGAACTAGGGTCAAGGCTCTGGAAACACAGGGAGTGGGGTATCATGTAAGGAACAGCGGTCTGATTTGGCTGGAGCACAGGGTTCCTCAAGGGGTGCCGTGGGGCGGGGGGAGAGGGGTTGTGTGGAATTTAGCTGGGTATGTGCCTAATAACCGAGGCTGGGCTCAGGCATTAGGGAGCCGAGCCGAGACATTATTCCACATCTCTGTTCTTTGATATAAACATTGTTGGGGTCCCTTTAAAAAAAAAAAATTCTCCTCCTCTTTCCTAAAGAGAGTTCTAGCAGTTGGGGGGTGGGGACCATTTCCTAAAGTCAACGCCTTAGTTAAAGGTCTGCAAAGCTATCCACGAGTGGTTTAAATCTCGCACCAGACAAGAAAGCGTGTAAGAGGCGGGGTAGGGGGAACCCACTTAACAGCAACATCAACCCCCAAACGACACGGGCCGCAGGCGGGACAAGCTGCCGGCCTGACTCGGGAGCTCGGAGCCCCGCACAGGCGGGCAAGGGGGTGAGGAAGAGAGGGAGGTAGGGAGGGAGGGAGGAAGCGCGAGAGGGAGGGAGGAAGAAAGGGAGGGAGGCGGTGTCATGTGATCCGCTTCCCTGCTCCTTTAAGCGTCCACAGGCGGCGGAGCGGCCACAATCACAGCTCCGGGCATTGGGGGAGCGCGAGCGGCTGCGCCAGGGGAATCCGTGCGGGCGCCTACCGTCCCGGTCCCATCCTCGCCGCGATCCCGCACCCCTGAAGTTTTGCAGCGTCCAGAAAGGAGGCGAGGGAGGCGGGGGGGAGCGTGAGAGGAGAGCGAGCAAAAGCACACCCTAAAACATTTTATTTCCAAAAGAAAAGGAAAAAGGGGGGCGCAAAAATGGCTGGGGCAATTATAGAAAATATGAGCACCAAGAAGCTATGCATTGTTGGTGGGATTCTGCTCGTGTTCCAAATCATCGCCTTTCTGGTGGGAGGCTTGATTGGTAAGTGCCAGAGCTGCAAACTTTTCCCCCTTTCTCTCTTTTCGGGCCCCTTCCCTCTTCGCCTCTCGGGCTACTTGTTACAGTATCACTGTCTTGCTTCTATGATCTAATTAGTCCGGCTATTGTGCTTAAGAAAGCAGAGCTCCATGGGGCTCCGTGGGGCACAATCCAGTCTAGTGGCTAAGAGAAAAGGAGGGGAAAAAGTTTTGGCCTAGTTTCAGTATCCACTTGAAAGGAAGGAGGGGGGTGGCGGGGGTGGGAATCTTAAGCATGGCGACGGATCGCGGGAGGGAGCGCTGGGTTACAAAGTTGATTGCTGCTCCCCCCACCCCCGCTTTTTCCCGCGCTCCCCCCCCCTTTCCTCTCCTTCCCCTCCCATTCAGCTCCGGAGGGCAGCGTAATAGACTTTATTAGGAACAACAGAAGAGTCGGGGAACTGCGCCCCGTGCAAACCCGGAGCCCAGTTACAGGGTTGTGCTGGTTGCCTGTGGAAATGCATTTGGTCTTCGCAGCCAGGGGGGTGAGCGTTTGTATTTTGGGTCCCAACCTCCGCCCCCTCTGCTCCCTCGCCGCACCCTATCCCGCCCTCCGCCCTTGCAGTCAGAAGGTCCGAGCGCGGGCAGGGAGGCAGGATGGGGTGGGGTGCGGTGGGAGAAAGTCCTTGGCTGGCGCCGGTGGAAGTTGGAGAGGTCGGAGGGGAACCGCGTATCCGAAAGGTGTTGCTTTTGGCCCGGCGCCCTCTTTTCGAATCTGCCCTCCCCCACTTCTCAGAGCCCCGAGAGCGGGGGAGTCTGCAGCCCGCGGTCCCACCTTGGCCGGTGGGAAGCTCACCGCCGCAGCCCCGCGCAGGTGACAGCTCCCGGCCCCGGCGACGAAGGCGCCCGCCCTTGGAGACCTCTCCCGGTGCGCACAGCCCGGACCTCTCATAGCCAAAGAGGCTTCCGGTTGAAGAGGAAGGTCTCAAGGACCTTCCACTCGAAAAACTACGCCCCCCCTTTTTCTTTTGCTGTCTCTTCGTCTTCATCCATCTTCCCGCCTCTCCACACTCTCCTGTCCTCTTCCCCCACGAGATTTAGGACATCCCGGTACAAACTTCAGCGCCAACTTTGCCGCCTGCGCGGATGGGAGATTTTGCTCCCTTCTGGGATTTGTAAAACTTTGTGGAGTTGGAAGTCCACGGAGGGGCTTTCTCCCCGCTTCCCTTTGCCAAGAGTCTGCACAGAACGGGCGTCGTAGTCGTCTTGGGGGTGAGAGCTCGGGCGCTTTGAGTCGTATGCTTGGCGTTTTGTCTCCATACCTGGGTTTGATGGGAACAAATCAAAGGGAGTCTGGTTCTGTAAATCACTGTAACATCCAAGATAATTGTTTAAACAAAGGGGCGCGGGCAAAGCTTCACTGAGGAGAGAAATTGCTGGAGGAGATCATACCTTTCTCGCTGTATGTAAGCAGAAAGGGGTTCGGAGTTTTCCAAGCTCGTATTTTCAATTTGGGCCAAACAGCTTAATCTTGTTATTCTTGGAACACCCCTTCCCCCAAACACACACACACACACACACACACACACACACACACACACACAATCTCTCTCTCTCTCTCTCTCTCTCTCTCTCTCTCGTTGAGCTTTCCTGTTATGAGCTCCTGTTTAGCTATGTGCAATCTCTGTTTCCTTGTATTGGATTTTTCGAGGCTCTTAATACATTCTCTGCTGGGAGCTGAAGGCAGCCTTTCCCTGTGCCCTCACAGTGATTATGCAGCGGTTACAATTACACCTCTTGTCTCCCTTGATGAGCAGTTGCAGTTAGATGCCATTGGATCTTGTGTGATTTCAGTGGCAGACCATAATTAAAATTTCTTGCACCTTGTGCTTTCAGAATTAAATTGGCCTATTATCCCTGTCTGACCTTCATCCTCTTTGAGGTTTTTGCACAGGCAGTGAACCATTACACATAGTTGCCTGGTGTTTGTTGGTGCACGTTTCTTTTTCTAAAGCTGATACTAACCTTGAAGAGCCCATCACCCACTGTTTTAGGTTTCTGAGGGCACTGATGGAATTAGTATAGTTTCTGGAGTCTTAGGATCAGGGAGATGGTTCCAGGACACTGGTGGGTGACGGCTGGACATTAAAGTTGCAGTAGAATCAGAACAGTTGCACGTTCAAAGAGGGGTTTGTCTAGATCAGTGGGGCCAAGGGCTGTTTTCCCCAGAGAACTTGGTTAGTGACCATACTTGGTAACAGTCTCAAAAAGTTAGTGGTAGGTTCTAACTCTAATTAGATTCTCTTCAACAAATAAATGGCTTTCTCTCCAACTTTCCCTGGAAAAGAAAATAATTATGTTTAACACTTCTTGGGGGAAATTGTTGTGAGTTCACTGTTTAGCTTCCTTCCTTCCTCAGTTGTCACAGCTATGTCCCCAGTTCTGGCTGGAAGACTAAAATGATCAGATCCAGTCCATGTTAAATACTTTGAACAGCGACTTAGCCTTTTTCTCGTCCATTTAGAGATTTTATTTATTTAGTTAGCTAGTTACTTATTTATTACTGCTAAAGAAATCTAGGAACTTGGGTATACTACAAGACCCAAACATGGGAAATAACTATCAACAAATGGTAAATGTGTTTTTCCACCAAACTTCCCTAAATTGGAAAGTAGGGGAAACCAATCGGAGAATAGAACTTCAACAAAGTGGGCCTGTGGAATCAATAGATGAAGGAGCAGTTTGTAGGCTGGAAAGCAAAGTTCACAAACTTCCTTCTCCACTCTCCCCACTGAGCAAAGAACCTCACTTCTCAGTTCCACTGATATGTTAGAAGTCAGGTGTCCTGGGTGGGACATGTCTATCTAATCCTCAGAGGCCAAGGGAAAACGTGAAATTTTAGCGGTGAATTGGCCATAATATATGTTCCTTTTTGATCACTGTTGTCCCAGATGAAAGGAAACATGGCGACTTAGAAAGAGGAGGATCCGAATGGCAAAGCTCCTGGTTATCAGGATATAAGTACTACATACACATATACACAAAACAAAAACAAACACCTAAAACAACAATGGCAAGCCATACATCCCAAAGCAACCAGGCAAATCAATTAACCAACAGGCTTCAGTTTCCTCATTGTTAGGTTAATGAGTTTAAGGATTCTTCCAGTTATAAAATTGTATGAATTTTTCCGTACTTTGAGAGATTTAGGTGGCATTTAGACTGGTGTTTGATTGCAGCCTTCTAAAATTGATGGGGAAACTTTAAACATTAAATAAAAAAGCAAATAGAGATTGGGTTTTGTTTAGCCAGCTTAAACACTCCCCTGCCCCAAGTTTGTATGTGTGTTCCGGTGTGTGCACTTATTTATTTATTTTTTCTTGTGCCAGTGTCTCTGTACTGCTAAATCTTCAATGGGATTTTGCAAAAAGGCTCTGGAAAGCAATGTGTATGTGGCAGAATTTGGGGTATTTAAAAATTCACTAAATTATGCTATGCTTTTGTAAAAACTGAGCCATTATAAAAATCTTCCCTCTGATTGTCTTCTTATGTATTGAAAAGGTTTAAGTGGCTACCTTCTTTAGTATTTAGAACTCATTTAAAAATTTAAGAACCCCCGAAGTAAAATAAAAAATTTTAAAGACATAGCTTAATCTTTATCCTCCTTAAAAATAAGCCTGCAGAAAATTTTTTTAAAATAAATTTCCTTTGATTTCATGGAAAGACAGGCAGCTGCAGGGGTGAAGGGGGTGGGGAGAAAACCATGTGCCCTGAAACACGAGTGCAGCCACTAAAAATCATGAACTTGAATCCCTGGCCCATTATGTGTAATTTGCTCAGCTTCTAATTAGTCATGTCTGGGGGATATAATGGTTGAAAAAGCAGGTCACTGTTCCCACCTGTTCTAAAACTGTTAAGAGTATGGAGATGAGGACTGGATGAATAGAAAATTATTTCATTGCTTTAAGCATACACAGAAATGAGAATATTTCAGACTTAAACTACAAATAAGTATCAACAAATTACCAAAAATTGTTTCTTTAGGAAGCATTGCTCTTTCAAAAGCTCATTATGTGAGCATATTAATGCTGAGACTATTATGTGTGTGTATATTTATGTGTGTATGCATATATATAATCAGTTTTCTTAATTTTTACATGGACTTATGTACTACCTTTCAATGATATAGCCAATACTATTGTGCTATTACTGTTTAAGAGGGAACTATTGGTGGTCTTGATTGTGGTTTATTCTCGTGAGTTTTTGTTTTTGTGACTCATTTATTTAGAAGTTACAGGATTTTAAGAAATTAAATACAATTACAGTTATGCAGAGTACATAAGAGTTTGTTTCCCAATACATTAGGTTTTAAGCTTGTTGTGGTATTTATTTTATTTTAGCATATGTTAATAATGCAGCACTTTTAATCCTGCAGTGTTTCTCTATCTGGTGAGAATCTTGAAAAGAGCTAATTATTTGGCCTTTGGTAAATATTAGCCCACATTTTTCTGTATTTGATTCTCCCTTTTAGTTTATAAAATTTTGTATTTGACTAAATAATGTCCTTTCCCCCTCTTTGTTAACTACTAGAGTATCTACTGTGGTTTATAGGAGCACTCTGCAACTTCAAAAACTTTTGTAATTGAAATTACATTATCGACTTAAGAAAGCTAAACTACCTACTTGGTTATTGCAACAAAATCATGCTTGTGCTAACAATCTCTAATCATGCTTTCATCTGACTGTTCAGAGAAGCCTGTCTCGCTTTCTACTGGAACTTTCCCATTTCCCTATTAAAGGTGAGAAGTATTTCCTTCAGATAATAGTGCGACGTGTGGCTTTGTAAGGTGTTCAAGTCCGCTGCCTGGAACCCATATCTAGACTCAAAGCCTTTCCTACCTAGTTGAAATTTTGCAATCACTTGGCCTTTAAAATTTTTAAAAATCCATATATACTGAGAAAATATTCTTACCTTATCTTCCTCATAAAAGTGTTTCTAATGAGATTTAGAATTTGAGATTTTAT